ATATATATATATATATATATATATATATAATCATCGTGACATTTCTGTTTGGGAAATTAAATGAGCGATCCCATTATTGTATATACGAATAAACTTTTAGAAGGAATGTGGTCGCCACTGCGCGTTTTGTCGCGATTGGAATTCACCAAACTAACGTGACAGATTCGGTCGCCAGGCTCTGGTTGCCACATTTCACCGTTTACAGCAGCGCCTCGTGATCACTTGACTACCCGAAAACTGTGTGGCACTTCCTTTCTCTCCTTCTACTGCCGGCTAATTTTTGCCATAACCCTTTCCTGGTTAATTTAAATAGCGTTTTGTGGTTCTTTACATGCACGATCACTGATGTACTGTGGGCCACGCAGACACACACTAGCACGCTTGCGCGGACAAACTGTTCACGTTTGAAATCCGTTGCGCAACAACCGCAGTTCAGCAACATTTAAACGGCTGTCGTCTGCTACTTGGAGGTTTACTTGTGAACTGTTCGCAGTGAGTCTTTTCAAGCGGATCCTCCTTCTTTGGAAATTACACTGTGAGGATCAGATTATGTGAACCAGAGTACTATATCGTTATATGGTAGGTACTAACTTAGGTTTCTGGACTTACGCAGAACCGGCACATGAGTCTTAGACCCTTTATAGTTGCTCCTCGGTAGGTAACCTTCCTAACAAGTCCGCTATATGAGCTGAAACAGTAATTAAACCATCTGCAATTCAGTGCAGATTCGATAACTATTCTGTTTTTCTAGGGGTCTAGACTACTAAACGGGACTGGATCCCTTCTTTATAGGCACACTGCCGATAGTTTCCAGTAAGAATTAAAAAGATCCACACTGCTTCTATTTTTCCATATAGACTGGCTCCGTTTCTGGACTGGGACTTTGATTATATTATTCCAACCACAAGGTGAAGCGTTTATGGACTGCTCAAGGCATTATACAAGGTGCATAGAAATTCTAGCTGAAAATTCGTCGAGGTGACATTCTACCAGGGATCATTTGAAGTGAATAGCCTTATTATGAAGAAAAGGATAGAAATGGATAGAGTATAGACTTTGCTAGCGCAATCTGACATCTATTCGGACTATCTGGATAGAAAATGATAACAAGAATGCCACTGACATCGATTAGCAGCCAGACCTTGCAGCGACTCCAACCTCGAACTGAAAATCAGGCGGATCCCATCCTCAAAGCTGAGTAGAGCCAACAGTATGCAGAATTTTTGCAGTCGATTTCATGCCCCTATCACAGACCAAAAGCCCACCACCTCTCTTATTGTGCTGCTCCGAACTGGACACCGAAAAGTTTTTGCTAACCTACTATCCGGAATAACCAAACCACCGCAGTTACTGCTGCTGGCCACATCCTTTAAGTGAACTCCCCGTCGCACAGCCTGGTACACATGTGTAATCGAATGAGCAAACTCAACCCAAGCCTTGCAAAGGCTTCATCTTTTACACAGCAGTCAGGACTAACATAACTTCCGAGATACATGAAACGCTTCCTTGGACTGTAAGCGACGCTTCATAGAATGCATATCCACAGGTATGGTCCTACAAGTTAAGGGTGGCAGTGCAAGCCATATGGCGAGAAGACCTTGGCCATTCTGTCCAAGGCATCTGTCTTCTTTCCCTCTTTAAAGAGGAGGGCGATTTCGTCTGCATACTCCAGAGTGGAACAGTTTTCATCAGCGGCTATCTGAACACCCCGGTTTGGAGATACTTGGGGGTTTGTTTCGTGCTCTCGTTGCAAGCGGAAATGTGGATAAAAACAATTATTTCAGCTGTAACGCCACTTCGGTGTCTAGCTGCCATATCACCCGAAAGAACCACGAGGGAGGGGACGCTGCCAATTTACCCAAGCCTAGACAGAGCAAGTCGAGATCCAGAGGTCGGGTTCTAAACACGCACCTTTCAGTGAGTAAATTCGCGCTCCAACCACCGAGTTATCTTGCAAAAATGTATAGGAATGGATATAACGGGCATATTTTCCGGATAACACTTTTTGTGTGGAAGATTGCAGAAAGCCTCTCATGTATTGTTACACACCCACAAGTTCGATTAGCCACATGTGACCGAATGGCATGGCGTCCAACTGCTAAACAAGGAGGTTTCGCAGTTTCCGAATTACCAAGAGATTCGTAAGCTGCACACTGCTCATGATTCCCAACAAGGATGAAAAACCTGTACAATGCCACTCAGCTTTGAAAAACATTGACTGTTTACTTACAGCGTAGGGTCTAGATTAAAACACCGAAATTTTCTCACTACGTCCAAAATAAACGTGATCAGAGATGAAAACAGTTCACCAATTGCACGAAAAGTCGTCACTCCCGGGAGATGGTCAACAACAGATCAGGTGACGCAAACCGCGTGGTTCTAGGATGGTGGCACTAAGTGCCGTCTAAGTGCAAGCTAAACATACCACTGATCGACCACTTGTGGTCGTGGCACAAATCTTCCCAAAGATCTACGAGATGTGTCAGGTATTCATTTCTGATACGGAGGCAGCAGCAGCGGTGCAGTGCTTCTCGGTTTACCTAGAGAGGAATCTTGGTTGCTCTCAAGCGATTGGGTTCACTCACACATGGAACCAGTATAATTAATTTTGCCATACGCCAAGCCGTGATCAGCAGTTGAAAAAGTTTAACCAGAGTGGCTTGCGATTGACCATGCTGCACCAAGCTGATGTGTCCCAATCAGGACAAAGCTGTCAGAGGATTGTTCCTGAGAAGTGAACATATCATTATTTCTTTCACGCACGCCGAAAATCCCGTGAAACAACTGGATTTGTCTAGTAATATGAACAGTAATTTCTTTGTTGTGTAATCGAATGATGGTCCTGTTTGAAGCCATTGTTTCTCAAAATGACATACACAAATTCGCACTTTGTGTAACCTGGACTCAAATTGATGCAGCCAAACCTTTTGTACAAAGCGGTCATTCAGCTCACTTCAGGTTATCTATACTGGCGACCCGATACTATGTTGCGACCTCAGAAACAGTGGTTGAATCCATCTAGACAGGTAAAAGAATGAACGAATTCAAGTCCGATAGCAAGACATTTATATTGACAACCAGGTCATCGATACAGCATGGCGTATTAGTCTGTCGTTTATCCAGACTTGGCAACCACCAAAGATTTTCCCGCACCAAACACGTGGTTGATATCCCATAGCCCCTCGACTACAGTCATGTCTAGCAACTCATCAGTTAACATCATTCAGTTGTCTTGTAGACATAGATATGGATATTGGACAAGGGATGCCTCCATTTGAAGTGATTACCTAAAAATGGCGCACTTTAAGAAAAATACTTGTAAGTATTTTTACTTTAAACGGATGTCAAAGAAATCCGTACTCCCCAATACGGGTCAGCAACCGACTCGCTTAACATTCTCCTCACGTTCTTTACTCTTCAGTTGAATTCGCAAAATACTCGTGAAATTCCACCTAACACCTTGTGAACTGGAAAACATCTTCACCTTCGGAAAGAAGCTTAAACCTTGAAAGTACTACATTGGATCTATTTGGCAACTTCTCCAGCTACTTTACAAGGACCAAAATCGATTGGAGATATTTTCAAGAAGAAAATATCACCTGATGATGATGTGCTGATGTGAGATCAGTAATGATATGCATCGGAACTTATTGCCACTTGTCGGTGCAGGCTTTTCTAATTAAGTAGCATGTGGTGAGTCCCCAAAATTTCTCATCTTTCTCCGGATTACAAACAAAATCATTATCCTTCCGTTTCACCCTCAGAATGGTGTGCGAAAATCGACCACCGACCTTCAGACAAACAAGGCCGCGAGTGGTAACTTACAAGAGAACATTGACTGTCCTGTGTTATATCGTTGGAATCTCGCTTGAACCCATTCTGTTGCAGACTAAGTATCCGCGCATCTACACAGGCAAGGCGACGGGCAAGTTGACAGAGGAGTTGAACCACCGAGACCATGTTTTTGTGCCACCGGTCAAATCTGGTAATAACTTGTGTAGCGGTTGAATCTTCAAAATCGGTCATTGGAACCATGTCACCAGTGCGTGTGAGTGTGGACGAACTGAACGAGAACCGGTCGGATGGATTGAACAGCTCATTGAGTTTGTTTCGTAGCTAAAGTTAAAAAAAGCAAATTTACAGAACGTTGAACAGAACGCAAGTGAATGAAAAGCAGAAATTTTGATCCTCCTCATTTGTCAAAACGCTTGAACTGATTAATTCGCACGGATTTTGAGTTGGCGAACATTTGGGCTCTTGTGGATGTCAACTGATGAACTTGGAGGAAAACCCGAAATAGCCATAAAAAGCCAGTCCCAAGAAGAGCAGTATTTTGGTAAACCCAGTTGGACTGACTATTCGGATGCATATTGCTTCACACCTAAACGTCCTCACATCAATTTGGAGGTAAGTTCAGTTCATCGTTCTTGGAGAAAACAATTTGTCTGAACGCACAAGAATGATAAAAGTTGTCTAACTCGAGGTGCATCCTTTGATGGAGACAAATCAAGTGGGGTGGTTATCTGCTGAGTTACGAAGGTAAAAACGGGTCTACTTAAAACACATTGTGTTTTGATGTGACATCTCGAGGAAGAGTAATATAAAGCAAAATGAATCTTGGCAGTGTTTCCGTTACAGTTTATCCAAAGTATATATCCTCTGATATTAACGCAGTACGTGATATCAGCATGAGTACAGCCCGCATAGCGAAGTCTGTTAGGTTAGGACAACTAAGGCATGTCTTTACGAATAATAATGATGTTCTAAACGACAGGAGAGCAGACACTCGACCAGCCCTTCTGTTAGAGCTGTTCTACGACTGATGGGCATCTACAACCGTAAGACTACAGGAAGGCATTCAGCTTAGTTGCTCAAACTACTTAGGTTTGTTCTTTTGCAAGATTTGCCCTTCATTTAAAGAGCTGGCATCACCAGGATCAAATCTCATGGATACTATGTCTATGAATTATCTGACTCTACATTCTTGAGAGAACGCGCCCAGTTAAATTTATCCGAAAAGTTGTAGCCAATTTGCGAGCGGATGCTTCTCCGTTTGATTCACCAGTTTGTTGGGAAAACCCCCGGAGTCTATTAGTTCGGCCGTATTTAAATATTGCTGCCTACGAAACATCCGGTCTCACAAGTCTGTCTGACATTGAGGTCACTCACCTGATTCCGTGACCCATTGACCTCCCTCACCCTACCCTCCTTCCTTTGATTTCTATCTCTCTAAAGTGTATGTAGCCCCGAACTTAACCTTTTCCACGTGATTTCTGCTACCATATAAATTTGTGATGTATTAGCCAAGAAGAACAATAACAGAAAAAAGTTTTGTTCGCTACCTTCTTCGTTCTATTGATGCATTGTTTGAGTTAGGAGTTAGCAGCGGTTGTTTTACACAAGAACCTTTTGAACTGCTGTTGAGAAACGGTATGAGAAATATTTACTAGCACTCATTAGGATAAATGCAGGCGCCTTTCATCCGCGTTGTGCAAAAAGCTGAAGCCCATACACCGATCTAAGTTCAGTCAATTATATTCATTTTGCTCAACTCCGCTTGGCAAAGATCCCTGCGCCTATTACACTTTGTTACTGTCGATGGCTTCCCAGTTGCCTCAACAATGCTCGCATTTTTCTTATACATTTAGGAAAACTTTAAGTAAATTTAGGTTGCTTCAAGTAGGCTGAAACATTTAAATGGGCTTGCAGTGCATCCTGCTAGTGAAACTCGAACCAAGAAGAAAATAACAGAAAAAAGTTTTGTTCGCTACCTTCTTCGTTCTATTGATGCATTGTTTGAGTTAGGAGTTAGCAGCGGTTGTTTTACACAAGAACCTTTTGAACTGCTGTTGAGAAACGGTATGAGAAATATTTACTAGCACTCATTAGGATAAATGCAGGCGCCTTTCATCCGCGTTGTGCAAAAAGCTGAAGCCCATACACCGATCTAAGTTCAGTCAATTATATTCATTTTGCTCAACTCCGCTTGGCAAAGATCCCTGCGCCTATTACACTTTGTTACTGTCGATGGCTTCCCAGTTGCCTCAACAATGCTCGCATTTTTCTTATACATTTAGGAAAACTTTAAGTAAATTTAGGTTGCTTCAAGTAGGCTGAAACATTTAAATGGGCTTGCAGTGCATCCTGCTAGTGAAACTCGAATTGTTTTCAGCTAGTTATTAAGCTGAAAGTTTGATCTAAAAAATCCACAAAGGCGACGCATTTTCAACAAAAGGTACAAAGTTCAGTAAAGTTTGTTCAAATTCTGTTCCACCGTATTAAGGTAAAATTTATTCGCATCTGGGTTTTAGATGTCCAACCTTCGTAGGCTGGGCTGATTAGCGAATGGAGCTATAATATCTTCAGCAAAGCAAACAGGAGATTTCCCGTCGTCAACAATGAAGCACCACTCCAAAGTGCAAGCGAGTATGAGTACGTACCCATTTTTCTTCCGTCTCGTTCCGGGCTACTTTTTGCTGGGCATCGGCCAAGTGCTGTTGTTTGAACGCAATGCGAACCGCTAATGTTCGAGCCAGGCGCCTAAGTATGGTAGCGGTGCTTGGAAGCGAATCGCTTGGTTGGTTGTCCAACTCGCCCCGAGTCTGTTCAGTATCAGAACTATCCTCAATGGAAATGCAGGAAGTTGTCATCTGTAGCTCACATTGTCCATTGAGTTGGGGTGTTGGTTCAGGCCTGCTGGAACTTTGTAAGTAAGCATCCGTTTCCGAAGAACCACCGCCTTGATAACAGGACTGAGTCATTCTGTGATCTTTCAGGAGCCTGTGGGAGTTGCAGTTTTCCATTTCACTTGATAATCTTTTTGGGCAATGAAAATAAGATGTTCAAACATTAAACCAATTACACGATAGCCGAAGGTTTCGCATTTTACACAGAATATGATATCATGTGACATATAATTTAATAATATGTACATAACCTAATATGTAATATATAATAATATAACAATATAATATAACAAAACAACAATAATGCTACTATATAATATAGCAAGATATCTCCAGGCACAAGAAAACGAACTTCACAGTAAAAATCCTTAAAAGGTTGATGCCATTTCGGTGCGATCAGAGCAGTCGGATGTACGCGTCAGCGTCTAATTTTCCCAGGGTTTGTTTAGGGATGCACAGTTTTGTCTCAGTACACCAAAGTTATTCGAAGAAAACTCTTGCTGTAATAATGCAATATTGCACCAAATCATCATGACCATCATCCTTAGTGATAAACCGACGGCAAAATCTGTACGTATGATCGTCATCCTCAATTAGAAATATGCGCATTTTCGCCCATAATTTAGGCGACGTCAGGCATGGTCTCACCGATCTATACTTTAAGCGAGGTGTGTTGGAAACACGATCCAAAGAAACTTGTTCACATGCAAACTATAAGACCCTCTTCCTGATCCTTGAACGGGGACAGTTGTTCTCCGCTACTCGATGTGATTGTCAATCAACCATTGCATAGTTTCATAGAGTTAATTCCACGACCGAAAACAGGAACAGCTGACATTGTTTTTCTCATCAAACCGACAAACATCCGCGGAGATGCCTGTGCGTTTACCTTCTTTTACCACTAAAACAACTATTTCAGACGGAGGCTTGAAAATGTTTTTCAGTCAGCTTTTCGACCAAACCAAGGGAGTAATATGACATTACTTCCGACCGAATGTAAGACAAAAATGTAGGTATGTTTCATCACAGAATAGCTCCACTCCAAAAAATTTGATTAAATGTCATCCGGTTCGTGTTTCTGTTTTCAATGCTTCTCAATCCATTGCATTTATAGATAAGTGGTCGTGGAGCTAATATGTGGTAGGACTGAAGGCAAGTGAACGAATCGCCACGAATTAGCAAACAGCGACCGTTGAGTGCAAGTGAGCTGGATTACCCCTAAGGAATTAGTAGGGTCAGGAGTTATTGATTAAGACTAAGATGACTCTCCCATTCATCTACTTGCTCCGCCCATGTGCTTGTCGATCTCTATACGTTTTGTGGTGACCTCGGTACCTACCACTGATCTATCTACGGCAGCCGCCCACCTGACAGTTGTAAGAGCGTGCGTGTGTCACCGCACCTAATTGTCAATGCGTGTACGTGCTTCGTCAGCATGGGCTGCTCTGATCTACCCTGATGTGACGCCTGTGTAATACCACTGCCCACCAGATTCACGAAATTGGTATCCGAATGAACCCATACCAACGAGCCAGTATTCCCTTTCCTACTTTGGATGTTCGGGAGCGTGAAACCAACCCGTAACTCGAAATTCTATATGAAGAATTCAATAGGAGTATCACCAGAGGAACGCGTATCCCGAAAAAGTACTGGTTTTGGTGGTTCTGCTGCCAAGTTACATTTTGAAACGTTCCACAACTGCAGCTGAACAAACGGTGGTTGAAGGACAAATATGTCGTAATCCAGTGTGCCAATGAGCACCAAGACACAGGAAGAAGCTCGACGCCCAGTGGGAATGCGGCGCACAACGAAGCAAAACGTATACGACCAATCCATCTATAGGGGTTGTTGGGCAGATAGGAATTTCACCTATATTCAGACCGATTTACCAACGGCTTGTTGGTCTAGTCACAATAAGTGATTGATCTAGTGGTTGATCTTCATATTAGGGCAACACGGTAATGGGGTGATTAGTCACCGACCTAGGAAAAATTCAATAAGGTAACGTCGCAAAATTATACCTCGAAAAAGTCCGACCAAGCTTCTATCTGTGGTTAAGGATATGCATAGTAGTCCTGGATGTACAAATATGGTGTCGGAATATCGAAGGGGAGCTTTTTCTTGTGATGATTCACTGTTTACCTGTAACATGAAGGACTGGCACAGCTCTGGTGGAGCAAGACTGCGACCGGTCGCACAGGAGTTTCAAGGAACATAACGGTGACCTGGAGTTTCATGCTGCCCATGGGAGCTTTCCGTCAGATTTTCCACATACTGTGGTATTAGCTTTGACGTTTTACCTGGGACTCGAGTGCACCAGAAATATCAAGTTCCTAATGGTCACCCTCATTCAATCCAGAAACCGCGATTTCAGGATTCAGCAGCCTGGTCTAAGAAGCTATGTTTGTCTTCGCTCCTCCATTCGCATTTCCATATCTACGGTAGAATGTCGAACGCTTGGTAACGTGCACTACGTGCAGTACAGTTCACTCTCGGAATGGCATCCACAGTGTAACTGTTTGTGTTGTACTGTAAGCACGTTCAGTAATTAGGCAACAAACTCTCAACTGATCCTGTGCGCTAAATGGGCTAAGAATACACATGATCACTGGTTCTATTTGCACGCGTCGAGAATCCTTGTAGCTTAAGTTTTTTTACAGATCACCCAGGAGGATCCTTGTCCATCAGATTGTTAGCCTGACCCGTTCTTTGTTGCCCAATTACTACGAATAATTGGGTCACATGGGGACTGTTATCACACACTGGGCGGGCTGAGACCAAGCCCAAGTAACAAATGGGTTAAGCTACAAAATTCGATGGAGGACTTTAGCTAACGTATCTCATTTACTTACAGCTGAAGTCGATAAATGCTAATGATGAATGGTAATGCCATCCACAAGGTAAAAACAAAGTTGCTAGATGGATTGATGTGCTGATAGTCCTAAAGCACGAGAGTAACTATATATATATTATATATTATATATAAAACAAGACACTAGCTCGATGGCACAAAGACTGCACTTTCACCGTAGAATTAGATCAACAAAGATAAGGGTAGTAGGAGTTTCATTAAATTACTTACAACAGATTTTCCTTCGTTATGGTTGAATGCATCATCTGTTTCCAACAGATGACCTAAGACCGACACCTCAAGGCGGGGTCTACGAAATCTGGGCAACAGATACGCAATCTACCGTCTTCAAAAGCAAATTTTAATTGTCAAGAAGCACACGGTGGATGTGTCGTGGCATGGAAAACCACCTAAATAAGGAGTAACCTTTTTCACATCCTATTTAAGTTTGAAAATTATTGTTCCCAGCCCTTTTCGTGGCGTCTTTCTCCAAGGCCATGTCCGAATGTGTTGACCTAATTGCTTACTGAAGTTGTATTCGCCCGTTTTGGATACATTTCTTCAATGATGGAATGTTAGTTTTCCAATCCTCCACTTTATGCTCACTTGTGAGCAGAATGGTCACTGGTCTCTTGGTTTACTTGTGCATTAAAACTTGTCAGGAAATCAGACTACTTGGGAGCATTGAAGTGGTACACTCAACCGTTCACATTCCTCACCAGCCTCTGAAAGGTGCTAAGCCCATGAGACTTGCACTTGCATACGTTGACTTCATTGCACGGATTAAGCCCAGAAACCACTGGTCCATATTCATCATGGGCTCCAGTGAACATGTGACCAATTATCTTATGCTTGAAGAGGGCTAATTTGACTGCCTATAATATAGTGTTTCCGTTCCGCGCATGCACCTACTACTGATGTATTCCCTCCCTTGATGGGTCTTATTGCTGTGAAAAATACAAATTTAGCGTGAGAAGTGGTATATTCCGTGTAAATTTATGGAATCGTTACATCATTTCCCTTTATTTCTTTGCGAAATTTTAACAAAAAGTCGCGCAAGTGCGAGTCTAATTAGCAAAAACATTACCTCAAACGACAGAAATTTTATGAACGAGATGAAAAATTACAAGAGCGTGTAGTTTAGGAAAAACCTTCTGCTCGTGATTTTTTTGATAAGACAATAGAATCCGCCGATATGGTTAGGCTTACCCGCAACTGGGAAGTAGGATAACTTTCATAAAGATTGAAGCGGAGAAGGCCCAAAAATAGATGTTTCAAGTTTTATGTCCAAAGATCTTACGTATTCATGAATATACTTACAAACTACCCTTCTTCTGTTTTACTGAGCAGAAATTTTGTCCCTTTGTGAGTTGCCCCGTCACCCCCTCCTCTCTGTGATGGTTTCGCTGTTAGCGATTCATTAGACCATTTTTCATGGAGCCAACACTCATCTTCGCGGAATACTCTATCAGCAAATAAGCTCGGTATTTTCGTGGAATACAGCAGTACCTCAGAGGAGAATTGGTTCAAAAATGAGTGAAACTCCCAAGAAGCCCGTCAATAAGAGGTCACATAATGCGGTTTTCCTGGTTGAATGATAAGCGGCTATATCCTGTCTAATTGCAAGCTGATTGTACTATTACTCAGTGGTCCGTGGCCGAAAGGTTGAGTGTTTAAATGACTAGTCGGAAGATAGCGGGCCTCTTTGGAGTTTCGTTAGATATGCAGTGTTACTGGTCCCAAATAAAGATGAAACAAGTGAAAATGTTTTAGGCTTTTCAACATAAACCGGCCGCACTTGCAGGACGAATGCGCAATTCAGAAGTGTTAGTTTAGTTCACAAAGTTCTCTGTGGACGCAAAGCGGCCGTTGTGTTACAGAAATTCTACTTGTTTAGCTAGCGTGTCACGCATCAAAACATCGACGATTCATTTTGCTCTTCTGAAATTGTGCCATTACATCTGACTGCAAAATTTTGGCAAAAAGTATGAGTAGTAGGTGGAAACCTTTTAAGAATGTCCCAGAAGTATAACTCTGGCTTTTTGTTCATAGGTAATTCCGAAAAATAGGGATTCAACAGTGCCACTAGCAAACCTTTCATTAAATTCGTTAATGCCGAGGATTCTTTCCGTAACATAAAGTCATATTCAATTAGCTTCAAAAATAAAGCTTCATGGTGGTTTATCCGAATTTGTGAAAATACATCTAGTCTACATTTTCAGTGCCAGTAAAACGCGGTAAAAGCGGCTATTTTGCGCAAGTCAGTGTACTCATCAGATTGTGCACTAGTGAATGTCTTATTGTTCACAGTATAATTGTATCTGTCATCCCACTAATCAACAAACAGGAACATCAGACTAAACACCTGGCATTGATCACGTCAGTAGTCATAAGGAATCTCACGGATTGGTTCCCCGACTGCCTTAAAACCCAATCAACCTACATACTTACTAACTTGGCCTGACGAACCTTTCGTGTCAGAAGCGAAACGTTGCCCAGCGATAAATCCACCGATTGTTTACCAAACCCCTCTGAAACGATGATCTTTATTTGCATTTCGTAATCGGTCCGAAGTGGACCTGTGAGCTAACTGAAACGGTTGGGACAGTCCATTCACCTGCAGTTTAGACAGCTGGATTTAGCTGGAATGTATCTTGAGTTCTGTCTATCCCTTGCTTTTTGTTGATATAGAATTCTATTGTTGGTGTTTTTATCAATTGACAACAGACATAACCAAGTTGTATCATGCACTCAGCTGAACAGAGCGGAATCGGAACAAGCGGAATATGTCTGAGGATTAAAGCCTCAAAACTAAGATGCCAAAAGCGATTTTACCAAATGAGGAAATCCACCCGACTTGGAATACTTTGCTACTGAAATACAGTTTACTTGCATACTTTACTTTATACTATTGCTGCAGCTTGTCACATTAATCCCGTACTATGATAGGACCAACTGGTAAACGGTCTCAGATGAAGTTCCCTAACTTTGAAGCGAATAACGATTTGAGGAGAAGCTATTAGGACTGGGAGGGACAGTATCTTGATTCGAAACTTCAAACGGAAAGACAAAATTGACATTTAATTCCATATTTAAAAATTGTCTTAAAAAAGATGGATGTAACTGATTCAGCGGCTCTTTATTTGATGGACTGCTTACTTCTAAATAGACTTTTTGGGCGAAAAAACCTAGAATGCCTCTAGATTAGACATAAATAATATATTTTTAGGAGGCAAATAATTAAGAACTACGTGACACCTTGATGTGTGCCACTTTCCCGATATCGCTATGAGTGTCTGGTGACAAACAAATATGGACTACACGTGGTGCGAGGCATAAACAGGAGTTGACGACACCGTACTGACTGTCGCATCCGTCAATTTGTATCACCCTAATGGTGATCAATAGGTAGATCGATATGCAATCGTGACAGACCCGATGTGAAACCGCCAGTTGACTAGTCGGTGATGCCCATGTGGTGATTCATTTGTCATTATGAATGCATTTGTGTGCGGACAAGATTTAGAGAGAATTTTTCCCCCTAAAAAACTCGGAGGAAGTTGACCTTTTTAAAATAATACTGCAGGTTTTGGCATTACATCGCCGGCGATGAGTAAGGCAGCTGTTCAGGTAAGACACTCCCAGGCAGACAGTTGCGGCCTTGGACGACGAGCGATAAAAAGGATAAAATTTAAAAGGTGCTCTTGACAGGCACTGTGATATTTTTGGGGCAAACCTTTGTCCACCACACCTCACACTAAGAAAACTGACGCACAAAACGCAAACAGAGGGGAAGGGTGGAGTTTTGGAAACGAAAGTTTGAATGCAAAATTTGGCAAAGTGTTTCCTCCTACCAGTATAAGGAGAACTGGGTGAACTGGGGACATTTGACCCACTCTGCCCGCCAGCAGCTTAAGAAATCGCTGCCATATCACAAGGAGTATTCCAAGGGCAAATCGGCACCATAATTAGTTGTAATAATGGCAATGAGCTGCCTTCGACAACTGTATGGGAAACCTCAAAACAGCTTTTATTTATGTTCTATTACAAGTCAGCTGTTTCAGTAGGAGAAATTAGAGAGGTTTTGATAGTTGCAGTTACTTTCATGAAATGTGGATAATGCTTATTGTCATTGGACCAATAAAAAGTGCACGCTTTTTTTCCAAAATTTCGAAGTATAACTTTTCAAAGTGAACAAGAATCATTAGTTCGACCGAGTAACCATTCTCAACTTATCGAAAGACGCGTCTGAGTACATAGAGGTCAGACAAATTGTTGGCACCTTTGCTTCCATCTAGGTCTAAAATTAACCACATAGGACACTTCGAAGTAAAGTGAGCACCTTAGAATTTTTCAGATCAATGGAGCACAAGTATTCGCAACCAAACATGGAGAAAGTGATGGCAAGCTTCACCTTCCAGGAAATACGGTCTATACTTCACAGGTGATTTTGAGTGTGTTTTACCCAACCACCTCCTGTGCCTCATGGCAGTGAAAGTCTTATGAGAAGTATGGAGAAACAGAGGCATTCCAGAGAATGGGTCCATTCCTTCTCCAAGTTCAAATTAATTCTATCTATCTTCAGAACCACATAGCACAGGTGTCGGCAAACAGACAGCAAACTAATAACGCTACAGACACTCGTTTATGTTTTGCTACCTTCTCGAAGCGCTAAAACAGACTTTTATTCTGGCACCTACCTTTTTGGCTGCTTGATGTTCATTATTTCCCTGTTGGAGAAGTCCTACGGTTGAATGCTTCAAAACTTTTACACCTCAAAGCCAAGGCTTCCAATAATAGGGTAATAATAGTCATTCCAAGGCCAGTCTTCGCAGCGAATTAGAAAGTGAGCGTTGCATGCATGCGTGGACACAGAAATGCATATATTTACTAAACACTGCTGGTTTTAGAAGCAGCGTTTTCTGCGTGAGTTGATTATGTGAATTCCAAGCTGGTCAGACCAAGTCTCTCTAGAGACGTCAATCAAGGCCTTATATATTACTTGGAGCTTGGAAGCTTGGTATACTTGTGTGAGAAGTCCTCACGAAAGGAGCCAATCACGAAGCGACCACGCGATGTGGATACGGTGACTGAAGGCCCGAGCCACGTTATATCTTGTCCAACTGAGAGATGATCACAGTGATGATCAGTCATCAGTGACCGAACGGTGACGGAAGACGGTGGTTTTGAATCTCCCTGGAGACTCGCGAGATAAACAGTGCTAACGACTTCCAATAGGAATGTTGCGGCCACACAGTCCTTCCCTGTACATCGAAACATGCTGTTCACTCTTAGAGGACGAAACTCCTTTGGAAGTTTGCAAATGTGTCCGTTATGTGAGTCAATAACAATGAGACGACAACAAACAGTGCATATAATATGTGTAAAGCATATGTATGACATACAATAAAGAATTTGATATGGGGCACTAAAAGCGTATTCAAAGATAGTAACTAAAATATACTAACCTGATGTTTTCGGCTTTCAAACGCGCACAGTCTCCAGCACCTCCAACTGGCGCGGTGCCATTCATGTTACGTTGCGTAGGTGAGACGAGCTCCAGTGCTTCACGTAAGCGGTGCTCCAGCCCACCTTGAGATAACTCTCCTTGTTCATTGTAGCGGATACCCATCAACAGAAGCACAAACCCGACTGCATGTCGTCGGTCCGGAGGTAACTGTAGTATCATGTGATGTAATTTTTTATCTGACTGCCTTTCGCGGTCTGTCATCTCCACCCACGCCACTGTTAGACGCGACGATCCAGGTGAGGGAACAGATCGTGTAGACATTTTGGATATGGCGTTACACGAACTAGTAATTATGCTCGGAGATGTGGGCGGAGAACATAAAATTTTCGGTGGTTCCAGATTCAAATTTTTGCTGCTTGAATTTATGGAGGAAATTTCACTGGAAGTGTGTTCTACCCATTGTCCAGATGAGAACCGTTCCAGGGAGATAGAGCGTCCGGCTTTATTTCCTTGAATACCACCATTGGCTTTACTGTTGCTGGTGTTGTTGACGATATTGACGTTGGTGTTAGTACTGCTGGATGTCTTCGGGTAGTAGTTACCATTGAATCCGAGTCGATAGTTCGGTCGATTACGAATGTAGGAATCGGGGTGTAAACTAACGAAGAGAGAAAATCGTTCGCTGGTCGTAACAGTGTGTAAGAAATTAACGGGTGGAATGGAAGAAATATATCTAGTCTTAGAATAAGTTGATTCATGAATATGAATACCGACCGCACCCAGACATAGAGCTTGCATTAAACACTTGGTAGTGAACTATTGCTGAGTCGGCGTAATGTGGCTGATAAGTCGGTTTTGAGATAAGCGTGCAGCGCCACTCGTTGGAGGACATCAAAGTTCAAGTCTTGGGTGAAAGTAACACTGCTGATGGAATAGATGAAGCAAGTATCTATTGAATTCCACCAATCGTGAGTGTATTAGGTATTATATGTAAGAATGCGTCTTTGCGGCAAACTGTCGTGATTGTATTCAGGTGTAAGTAGTTGGAATCCCATAATTCCTATTGACTCGGGGACCAGTAATTAGAAACCACGAAAACACGATTCACCATGTTGCACGAGTATGTGCAGATCGGGGATAAGGATGAGTAGCCCGAGGATTTATTTCACACAGAAGGGAAAATTTTACCTTGCACTCATTCAAGCCACCCCCAAGTACAAATAGAATTTCATCAAAGTTGAACCTTTTGCGTAAAAACATCTCCGTCAGAAATAATCAAAAAAACTGCAGACGGGATGAAGTAAGCAAAGGGACGACATGGCTGGTCCCCTAAAATACGTTCATTGAAGGAATCACTGCATATCTTTAATGGTCAGGGAGGGTCGAAGTTTCCATTGAAAATTATTTTACAAAACCAACTACTAAATTTGGGTAGGAATAATATTCTGAATATTCTAGTATGGTTGCTTCTAAATGAGAGATTCCTCCACATGATACACTAACCATCAAACTTTTCCGTTGTAACTGGAGTTACTGGCCTGTTGCACAGTTTCAAAGTGCGGAGGGATTCAGTAAATCCCGATGGGAGGGTTTAATGGAGATCACTTCTAGACTGTGACTGAGACACACCTCACGGTCCATTCATTTACAAATTGTAGTTTTGCCAATGGCTCAGATAAATTCCAGTTTGTTATGGTAGAAATTTGAGATTTTGTGCAATTTCCGGTTGCTCTGAATCGCTGGCTGTTACAAGGTGCCCAGGGCTACCTCAGTAAGCTGGTTTTTACACCTACTTCACTGAGACTTTACCTATTCTAGCAGCGAACCTGAGACGTTTTCAGGTGTTCGACAATCATTGTCTCAGAACCATTGCTCGTGTGGGTTGGTGTCGGCGAAGCCGTAATTAGGCAGCTAAAAAACGAGTTTTCGGTTGTGCAACGGGTACTTCCATTAAAGAATGTGTCCATCACCAGAAACTGCGTTGGTTGGGACATGTGTATCGTATGTCGAACCATTGTTTGCCGAAGACAGTGCTGTTTTCCATGCCCAATTCAGAGTGACGCAAACAGAGAGGTGTCCAATCCTTGACCTGGCAGAGGAGTATGAAGATTACCGAACGTTTGGGTGCTGTCTGTGCCACTCGCCTTCCAGGATGGGGACCGCGTGATTCTTAATGTACCTGGTTGGTGGCGCTGCAAGATATGGCTGCCAACTGATGTCAGTGGCGTTCTTGTTGTCAGTTTCTATCCAGATCGCTTGAGTGTCTGCAAGTATAGGCACCTCGGAATGATTGTGGTGAGCTAGCACTAAGTTCCTTCCCCGTTCAGCTTTTCTCTTTTCTTTACAACAAGGCTTTCAAATAAATCATGGTTGTACGGCAGTGAAGCATCGATGTTGAACACTGATGTTATGCTGCCGATAATAATGATGATAGGCGCACACAAAAAAGCTTCATGATGCATGGAGCTGGGTAATTTGTTCGGTGAGGCAAAACTACCGAATTCCTTTCCATCCGGCGCACTGGTTTCAGACTACAGCAGTTATAGACCAACATCCTCTTTATGTGATGGTGAAACCGAATTTCGAAAACCATCTTCTCCAAAACAATACCCCCTGTTGATATGTATCGGAGAATGATGGTAAAAGACTCTCAAACTAGACCATTTTGCCAGGCATTTCGAGATGCAGAACCATTTGCTGGAGCGAGCGGTTTAATTATGTGACGTTGCGGTTTTTATCATGGAAAGATACGACTCCTGCTTAACTCGTGTGGTTCCACTGATTTTGTTATTGGGAGAGTTGTGTCCACAATATAAAAACCATAAACTCATTCTTACGCCCTTCACCAAATTTTCGTTGAGTATCCGGTGTTGCGCAAGCATCATTCACTTTTGATGCAGAAATGCTTCTTGAATAATAAGAAGCGATCGCATTATGACATACTTCTTTGTAGAACCGAACGTGTCTGAATTTTCTCGACATCTGTCGGCTGTCAGGAACACCTGAATTCGTAGGTCGAATTCTCGAATAAGATAGGCTTAAAACGGTACCGCAAAATTAAACGTAACGTCACGTGTTTCATGTTCACCCTGTCGCGATCTGTACGCAAAAAGCGGATGGTTAAATGCGTGACATTTGTCACAGCTCTATCTGTCGGTGCAGATGAGAAAGCGGTGTGGTCCTTCAATACAGATAACGGGCTAAAATTTTACTCTGTCACATGACTAACTGTTTAAACCTAAGACAGTTCAGGCAGTTCGACATCGTATCCCGATAGGTCCAACAGTAAAACCAAACAGGCTTCTATTCTGCTTCACCGTGAAATGAGTAAAGTATACCAGGTTAATTCGCTTGTTCGTTTGTGTCTGAACAACAAAATATCAACAACATCCGGATCGCGGACGAATTCCAGTCAGATACGTTAGGTAATCGTGAGGATACATACAACCAAACGTATTCAGTCTTGTGCGATTGAGTTTTAAATGAAGTTAACACCCCGTTGCGAAGTAGTTACACGAAATGTGGTAATTACGCGCAATTTGCAATGAATCCGTAATCAGTTGGCCTTATAAGGAGTTAAAACGATGATGGAGTTTTCGAGCCACACCCCAGATAAAAGTTGTGATTTCAACCAAGAATCCACCATTGAGGATTGCTCAGAGTTGTTCTGCTGGCGGTGTGGTATGGGGGTCACTTTCCCCTTAAGAAAAATCTTCGATTAGGTGATTTAAAATAAATTACCGTCAAGATACCTAAAAGGCGGTGACGGGTTCTTGAACATCGTCACTTGACTTGTCTATCCACCTTTACTAGTCTGTCTCTGTACCTGCAGCTGTGTCAGTTATTTTCAAGAATTGCCCAAAACTGGTGTTTGGACAAAGACTTCAATCAATATTCCGATCAATTTACTTATCAGGCCAACTTTAGCCTCGCGTGTCATATCCAGAATTTATATAATCCACTGCCTCGCTGACGTTGAAACCTCCACATTCCTCACTCCAGGATGCTTGGAAAGAATGTCCACTCATTATGGCCACTCAGTAGTTAACGGAATTCCGTTATCAGTATCCACTGCTCTACCATCAGTCAGTCAGTAGCAACTATGGCGCACACACCACTAATTGTTTTGCAGAAAACTGTTTCAATCTGTGTATGTCAAATTGTGTCAATTTGTTTCTCACGAGGGTTGGTTGAAGGTGAACACATGCTGTACGAAACATTGGTTTGCGCATGATTCCGTCACGTGGAGTTCCTTTGGTTAATGAGGAGCAAATACGATTCTGGCAATCAAATTAGAAATCATTCCCGCCTGTACCTCCTGCAGGGCTTGACATCGTGATTATCTGAGAAAAATCTAGGGCTTTCGTATATCGTGTGGTTGCAAAAGAATGCGGAATGACCTGGATAGTTTCACCAATTCAGACGCTTCCTTTCCTGCCCTAGTTAAAATTCTTTTTTTTTTGGTTGGCTAATTTTGATTGATTTTGCGAACCACCCGAATTTCCGAAAGATGTTCGTGTACTTTCAACCTGCTGACTGTTTGCTGCCAGATAAAATCACAAGTTACTTCAATGCTGTACTCGATGAGGTTTTCGGTAAGACACAAGGTGTTCGTTCAGCTTTCAGAGTTATTTTATTCGACTTTGCATTCCAGATTGTACGCAGTTTGCATACAATCCAGCTGAAGAATGCGGGGGAGGGTTTCGTCATCTTGAGAGAATGAGCGATATAGAACTTAGAAAAGCCTTATGCGGGAAAGGACACTAAATATTTTGACTGTTGAGGATCATAACATGAAAATTATCTTGAGTGCCTACGATAGGGGACCATTATTTCACCAGCCCAGGTACGCAAGATAGTGTGCTATCAAAACTATAAGTCTGAAAGTTATGAAGTGCCACCAAAGGCTTATGGGACAGTTTTGTGGCTTGAAAATTGGTGAAAGAGAGGAAGGGCACTTCCAAACTAAGAACCCTCCAAAGAATATAAGGTTTATCCCATATTCTACCTCATGAAGTCAAGCAGTTCTTTGCTGTTTCTAAGTAATTGTTCAGCACTCCCTTATACAATCACTTTTCCGCATTTTGTCATATATTGTAGCATCCCGATAACCTAATGTGCCGTCATAGTATTTTTGACGACAGACCACCTGAAAGATTGGTCAACCCCTTATTTTCCTGTGCGAGTCTCACTCATTTGGGAAAGAGTGCATCCTACCAGTTGGTTGAAAATGAGTTGAAACGACTACAGCCAATACTTTGAGGATATCGTTGGTATTTTGAACCTGCCATGTTTTACCGAAAATGAATTTTCACTCCGGAAATGTGTCGATGCAATATTCGAAGAAAAACAGTTTTGTCCCAAACATTCCTAAACCACGTGAGAAGGACCAGTTAGAACAGTTGCTGAACATTTTCCCCTAAACACTCCCATTCATAACTGATTTTTCCAGGTGAAAAGTTTTCACCTAAAGATCAGTCTTCAGCAAAATAAACAGTTCCTGTCTCCAACGATATTAGCCACGTGTTATGGTCAAAAGAGACTTTTCTGGCATTGGGACAACCAAGCCATTTGATTGTACCATGCGGCACGAGGGATTACGGGTTATCTAGAATGTGCTTTAATGATCACAGTGGTTTTGTGGTTTCGTACCAATGT